GCCCTGAGCGCGGGGACCTCCCCGCACAGCCGGCGCCCTCACCCAGACCCCCTGCCATCGAGAGCCAGGGCTCTGTGGCCGGGCAGGCCTGGGTTCAAACCCCGGCTCTGCCACTGACTGGTCGTGTGACCTGCAGCAAGTGAGCTCACCCCTCCGAGCCTCAGTTTCCGTCTCTGTAAAATGGGGATCCTAATAGTACCTATTCACAAGGATGTGGTTGGGACCCACCACGAGGGCCGTAGCAGAGGCCTGAAGCACCGGAAGAGCTGGACGTGGTTATACGGGGCCTCTCCTGGTCTCCCACCAGTTCGCCCCCCTGCACATCAGTCTCCCTTCTCAGAAGCCTCTCCCTGGCCAGCCGGCCACCTTCTTGCCTCACGCCCACCACTGAATCCTTACAGGGGCAGTTCGCCCACCTGGAGCACTCTCCTCCCCATCCAAGCCAGGCTCTGTCCTGAAACTAGTCGAAATAACCACCCCTCAGACCCTCCGATCTTTTCTGTAACTTGGGCATCATTCCCACCTCACCTGTTCTCGACGTCAGTACACATTCATTGAGCACTCCACAACATGCCAGACTCACATTGTGAGGGTTGGACGTGGAGCATGGGCCGTGAGCACCTTTCCCAAGCAAGGGCTTGATGGATGGGGATTGTCTGTGTGACTGCTGCAGCTCCACCTCCATGTCCCATGACCCTGGAACCCCCCGCTTTTCTGCCCAGGGAATCAGTTTGCTCCTCCAGGTGTTCTCAGCAGTTCCCACTGTTTCCAGCAAGTGCCAAATTGCAACTGACATGATATGCATTCATTCATTCATTCAATTTACTCACCATGGCTTTACTGAGCACTTACTGTGTGCCAGGCACTGGAGATGTAGCAAGAAATCAACAAAAGATCCTTGGCAGCCGGGTGAGTGGCTCATGCCTGTAATCCCAGCACTTTGGGAGGCAGAGGCAAGAGGCCTGCCAGGGGTTTGAGACCAGCCTGGGCAACTTGGCAAGACCTCATCTCTACAATACATCAAAAAATTAGCCGGGCATGGTGGTGTGCACCTGTGCTTCCAGCTACTTGGAAGGCTGAGGTGGAAGGATCACCTGAGCCCAGCAGGTTGAGGCTGTGGGGGCTGTGAGTGTGCCCCTACACTGCAGTCCAGGTGCCAGAGTGAGACTTCTACTCAAAAAAAAAAAGATCCTTGCCTTCCTGGAGCCAGCATTCTAGCAGGGAGATAAATAGTAAACTAGTAGATAAGAAAACTGTCTTTTCAAAAAGGAAATATTTTAGAAGATGGGGGAAAAGGTAGAACCAGACAAGAGGCATTGGGAGAGAGCAATTTTATTTTATTATTTTGTGCAGAGACAAGGTCTCTTGCTATGTTGCCCAGGCAGGTCTGGAACTCCTGGCCTCCAGATGTTCTCCCACCTTGGCCTCCCAAAGTGCTGTGATTACAGGCATGAGTCATCATACCCAGTCTGAAATTTTAAATAGAATATTTAAGTTTAAGTACTCAGGGAGGATCTTGCTAAGAAGGTGATATTTGTGTAAAGCGCTGAAAGAAATAAGGGAATGAACCCTATGGAAATCGGGGAAGAGTATTCTAGACAACAGCCAGTGCAAAGGCCCTGAGACAGGAATGTGCCTGCCCTGTTGGCATAGGAATGAGGAGGCCAGTGTGCCTGGAGCAGAGTAAGCGAGGGGGAGAGAAACACAGGGCCAGATGGTGTGGGATCTTGTGTGCCACCGTAAGGACTTTGTCCTTTACCTGAGTGAGATGGAGCTGTGGGCGGGTACGGAGGAGGGGAGGGGCACGGTCTGACTCAGCTGTCAACAGGGTCCCTCTGGCTGTGTGTCAGGAACAGACAGGAGAGGACAGCAGGGAGAGAGTTGACAACGAGCAGCTGTAGAAATGGCTCAGTCAGGGATGATGGTTGGCGGCAGATTCTGACAGTTTTGAAAGTAGACCCAACATTTGCTGACAGATTAGATGAGAAGCATAAAAAATAACAGGAGTGAAGGATGACTCCAAGGTTTATACCTGAGCGACAGGAAACATGGAGTTGTCATTAATGTGCTCATTTATCTGCTTTTAGTATTTATTCATGGATGCTTCATGACGAAAGGGACTTTCTGTCTGCTGATGTGACCCATGCCTAAAATGCAACTTGGTACACAGAAGGTGCTCAGTAAGTACCCTTGAATAAATGTGCATATCATGACAGGACAGAAACACTAGAATAATTGGGATTGAATTGACATGAATAGTTTGGGCCCAATTTTGTGTCCCTAGCATGTGGCATGGTGCCCGCTACACAGGAGGTGCTCAAGAATGTTGCAGAATAGAAACAAAACCCCTGCCCTCCCAGCAGAGAGGCATCTGGAGACTCACCGTCAGAGGGCAGGGGGTCTCTGCGGTGTCCTGGGAAGGGGAGGAGGAGGAGGAGGAAGAGGAGGGGGTAAGTGAGCCTGAGGCAGGGAGAGAGGCAGAGAGTGAGTGTCTTGGGCCCAGTGTCTCTGGCCACTCCACCCTCGCCCCCGGTGCCCGCACCCACGAGGCTCACCTCGACCCAGCGCGGCCAGCGCAGCCAGCAGGCTCTTCTGGAACTCATCGGCCTCTGCAGGACTCTGAAACGTCAGCCCAAACTTGCAGTCGCCCAGGCTCCAGTGGTGAAAGATGGGGTTCACCTTGTTGTAAACCAAGCCTGGCTTCAGGGTACACTCCAAGGTCGTCTGAGGGGCAGGAGCAGGGAGGGTCAGACACCCTCACCCAGCCATGCCTGTGACCTTCCCTCTATCCCTGGCGCCTCTGCACACTCCAGCATCCCACAAACCTCACTTCCCAATCCTGGGTGTACCCCTGAATCCTGACTGACACCCCAATTCAACTCCCCAGTTTTACTGAGCACACCTCTGAAACGCCAGTATTTTTCCCAACCCTTTGATTCCTATGTTTTCCTAATACCCTCCTCTGATAACTCAGTGGGAACCTCACATCTTATTGACTGTCTCAAAAATTGTTTACCCCTTTTCCATAACCCATCATCTCCTCTTCTAGTTCAACAGTACTCCCCCAAGCGTGATTGAACATCTCCAAATATTACTGTTAGTCCTCTTCTGAAGTCCCAATAATCTCTGGAAACTTCACCCCCAAATATTCTTTTTCTTGGAGGGAGAGTCTCCGTATGTTGTCCAGGCTAGTGTTGAATTTCTGGGTTCAAGAGATCCTCCTGCCTCAGCCTCGTGAGTAGCTGATATTACAGGCTCCCTACTGGGCCCAGCACTTACCCCAAAATCTTACTAAATGTCCATAGATTCCCCCTCAGATGCTCCTCAACACCCTAGATGTTCCTTCAACTAGCCTACCCCGACATCACACCATTTCAAATCTCTCCACGTCATCCTTCCTGCTCCTAAACAAAACCCTCCCCTCAAGCCTTTCCAAATAATCCAGATCTGTCTACTACATTCCAGCTGACACTTCAACACTGTTCTCCAAATTGTGCCAGACAGCCCAATTATTCCTGACGACCCCACGTATAGAATAGTCAACTGTACTGGACGCTTCCAAATGGACCCCACCAAATGCTTCCATATACTTAGGGCAGACGGGGCCGGTTGGTATAGGGCCTGGTGGTGAGGATCTCTGAGCAAGATGGAGCCACGGGAGCAGAGCAGGGAGGGACATGGTCTGAGTCGGGTGTAGGCAGTGCCCCCTGTGGAACAGATGGGGTTGGAGCGGGAAGCAGGGTCGGGAGACCAACGAGGAGGCTGCTGTGGCCGTCCAGAGGGAGATGGCCTCGTTCGGGACCTGGCTAATGCCCCAAGTATTCCTGAAATCCCCGACTCTCATCCATAAGCCAGATATTCACTTCCAAACTCCCTCCACACCCCAGTCCGATTCCTGGGCTCGGAGACAACCTGGCCTCGCCTCTGCACACCCAGCCCCGGTCCCGGCCTCCCCAGGGCCCACCCTGCCCCACGCCCCGGGGTGGCTCACTTTCTGGTCCCGGAGGCGCTCCCCGTGGATGACGAAGTGCCCCTGGCGGGCCCCCCCCTCGGGCCTGGCCCCTCGGACCCGACACACGCTCACCTGGCTGAGGCCCCCGCCCCCCACAGGCAGCCAGCCCCCACTGGAGTCATCTCGGGCCATCACCACAGCTCGGACCCGAACCATGTACCTGGAGGAGGGGGTGGGGGACAGGGACGACACGGCCGGTCAACTCGGATTCCGCTCTCCCACGGAAGGCTCCCCGTCCTCACCTCCCTCCATCTTCCTCTCACATCTGGGCCCACCGCTGCCCACGTCCACCTTCTCCCACAGGGCCGCTGGCTTCCCCATGCCCTCCCGCTCCTGCCATGCCCGCCTCCTGCCCCAGGTCTGTCCTTTCCTCCACACTCACCTTTCGCCCATCTTTTCATCCCCACCCGCACAGCCTTGGCTCCACTTCCCCTCCCCCTCCGGCTCATCCCCTATCAACCCCGGCTCCTTCTCTCTCTCGGCACATACCCACAGCCCCACCCAGCGTTCCCCCTCACAGCTGGGTGCCTGCGCATATGTATTTTCTCTGGGCCCATCAACTCGGCTCCAGGTCTCCCAACACTACCTCCGCACCCTGTCGCCCAGGCCACAGGCCGGGTGACAAGCCCAGGCTCCTTTCCCCTCACCCCTTCCCGGATTTATGAATGAGACCGGATGCAAAGCTCCCTGAGTCACCCAGCAACGGGAGACGGGCAGGGAACAGGGAGAGAACCAGCAATGGCCAGACAGCGAGGCCGAGAGGGAGAGGGGAGAGGGAGATGCAGTCAGAGAAAGTCAGAAACGGGCGACCGAAGACACATCCAGAGAGCATTTCATTCACAAAAATCAAGCTGCTCCCTCAGGCCTCAACCGAGGGAAGCCAAACGGGAGATGGGGGGGGTGTTCCGCCCACCCCCCACCCCTCCGGCCCCAGCATCCTTCCGAGCCATCTTACCCCGCCCCCCAGCTCGGGGAACGTAGCCCTCCGCCCAGTAACCGGGATCGCGTCCAGCCCCTCACGGCCACCCAGTCCAGGGACCCCGGCGTCCCAACCTCGGGGACGCAGGAGACCTCTAGCCCCCTCCCCCACCTGCAGGCTCCCGGGCTTCCCCAGCCCTTCGGAAGGGGAAGGGGCGGCCGCAGCGCCCCCAGCCCCCTTTTCTCAATGGGATGGGATTTTGTGAATGAGCAATCACGTGACGCTGCTTCCTTTGTCCGCCCGCCTCCCCCGACAACAGGTGAAGCAGGGAGAGGGCAGGGGTCCCCCCCCGGGCCTAGCAGGCAGGGGGCACCGGACCCCAGGGTGTCCGGCGCTCCCCACACGTCCGTGTGCTCGGGGGAGTGGTCCGCAGACTTCCTCAATGGTGAGGGTCCAGGACGGAATTTTGTGAATGGGGAGTCCTCGCAGGAAGTCCAGGCCCCCCCAAATGGAGACTGCTGCCCCAAATGGCTGCCGCGCAGCCCGGGGGTCTCACTCGCCCGTCCTCCCGGCCGGGGCCGAGGGGCGCCCGGCGGGCAGGAGGCGCAGCACGGTCCCAGCCGCCCCC